TTTTTTTTTTTTTTTTTCTCCACCCCCTTTATTTTCCCTTTTTTTAATTTTTCTCTCCAAAAAACTCTTTATGTCTTTATCTCTGTTTTGCGTCTGTCAGCGAGATTTGAGGAACAGCAGAGGAAGAAGCCGGGTTCCCCTGCAGGGAGCTTGGCCTTTCAGAGTGACAGGATGACTCTGATCCTTTCCTCTGCAATCAATACTGTTTGTGCTTCTTCAACCCACACTTACAGCCCTGGGATTCTTTTTCTCTCCCTTGTTTATTTACCGCTGTGCCTCAGCTTGAATTTTATGGTGTGAAATGTCAAAACCTTGAATGAGACCCCATATCATCTTTTAGTCCACCTGGCAGAGAGGAAATGGAAAAATCCGATTTCTACTTATGTTTGCTGAGACACAAACACAATAATGGACTGAAAACCAAGTGAGATAGGGAGATAAAGTGAAGAAGGAAATTGAAATATTACAGGAAAGTGTGCAAGGCAAATAAGATGATTGCCACAGCCTGTTCACACATCCTCTTCCCTGAAGCAGTCTTGGTTGGTGATGCCTCTTGCAGAGGCTCTGAAGTGGTGACAATAATGTGCAGCAGAAACTGGTAATGAGTCGTAAAAAAGAGATTTGAGGGCTTTACCGATCCATTCCCAAACCAACTGTCTTGGCTGTGGGAGTTGGATCTTTCAAATATTGTTGGGGGGGTTGGGGAGGGGCTATAATGGGATTTAAGGATGCGCTTCTGGGTTAGAACCATTACACAGACCCAGTAAATTTTTCCAATGTGTCTCTGTGTATGTTTGTGTTTAAATATCATCCTTAAAGCTTTTTCCTCTTTGTATAAAATAATTGTGATGGATTCAGAGCTCTTTCATGTTTCCATGCTACATTTTTTTGTCGTTGTTGAATGATTTGCTCAGCCCTTTGTTCTGGACACGAACACAAGCTGACAAGGATGGTTAAAGCATTCGCACTGAGTAGAGATGCTGCGTTGCCATAACAACCAGGCGTTTGGCAAAGATTTCCATGATGTCAACTCTCATCCAGGATCCTATATGGGTCTGGGACAAAGAAACTGGCACAAGCAAGCAAACACAATGCATACTGTACATGATTGCTTGTTTCTCACATGATATAATGTTTCTTTTAGATGTTTTTTACAGTGTTGTAGAAAGTAATTTTGCTTTATTGATTATTTTTCAAATGTTTTTTTTTTAAACCCTTACATTTTTTCATATTCAATGTCTATACCCTTACAGGGGGGCTAAGTCTATCTCCATTGGTCATCGATAAACAACCAAAGCTACTCCAGTTAACCTGACGTTATGGACAGTCACCTAGAGAAAAAAAAAATGTATGCATGAAAAGAAAACTCAGAAAATCCATTTAGAGAGAGATAAGAGACACAAAATATCTTTGATGTGAGAACTTCTGTCTGCTGCACAAAAAAAAAAAAAAAAAAAAAAAAATAGATTATCCCATCTTATATTGATAAAAACAAGGAGAGCGGCCAAAATGTCTCCAAAGAAATGAAAACAATAATTTCCAGTAAGAACCAGTTATTGGTTTTAGCTGGTAGTTTATTTTC